TTCATCACCTTGTTAGGCGCTGCATCTGGAAGGCCCCCGTTGGGGTAGTGCCGCACCAAGGAAGCTCGGGGTAGAATCAGGCATGGCGGTTCAGTGAGCAGCGGCATAGCTGCTTGAAGCGGCAGCAACATAGCTGCTTTGGGTTTTCTTTTGTATAGGAGGCTGAAGCCTCAGTAATCTGCCATAGCCTCGGCCTGCAATGACGAGGAAGGAGAAGGGTGGCCATGGTTATGGTGGCCCTCATGTTGTGCCTGCAGTAGAAGTGGGATTCGGACATTGATTCTGGTTCAGCCATTCAACATTATTATTGTTATTTCTTGTTTGAATAAGAGGGAGGAGATAAGGAGGAGGAGATTGGTTGGCGAAGAAGAAGAGCTTTGTCATTGGTCTATGCTGGAGAACATCATCTCCTTCTTCTTTTTGACTTCTTCTTCTTCTTCTTTCCCTCGCTCTGCTCTCAAGTTCATTCATTTCTTTTTGCAATTGGACGACATTGTACTTTCTGATGACAGCATACTTCGAAATTGGCCAGGATAGTAACATTGGTATCAGAGCGGATTCTCCTTGCTGGCGAGAGTTGACTTTGCTGCCATAACCCTAACCCTAATGGTAAGGGCTAACCACTTAGGGTTAGGGCTGGAAGTTAGGGTTAAGTGGGGCAGCATGGTGAAGGGAAGTTGCTCCCACCTGGCAGGGTCGTGTAGGGTGGACACTAGACCCGGCCAGGTTGCTTGAGTGCATGTTTGTGGTTGCGAGACACAAGGTGGGACTTCCTGATGCAACTTGAGAGAGGCGACAATGAAGGGCACCTACAACTTGAATCTGGACTTCAAGGAAGACGAGGAGTGACTTTAGGGCTCCCCTCAAGTCAGGCGAGCTTGAGGGTGGCAGAAATATCTGCACCTACAGACTGCAAGTTGCTGCTTTGATCTTCAACATCAACGGGGGATCCGGCTTTGTACTTTAGGGGGAGATGTTGACCCTCCTAGATGATAGGATACTAGTGTAGAGGATGCTAATTGGGGCAGGAGGACTATGTGAGAGGGGGGTGAGTGCTTTCATCTCAAGAGCCCGACCACTCAGGTAAGTGTCGTGCCGCCAGGGTGCCCATGTGTGTGTGCATGGAATTGACTGCTTGTTGGGGTTTTCTGGGTTCTTCTTCCATCCTCCATAGCCTTGATTGTGTGTGAGGTGTGTGAACTGCTTACTCACCTGACGAGTGAATGAATGGAGTATCTTGCTTGACATGCTATATCTCTCTACAGTGCTTTGTTTATTTCATTCTGAACGGTTGTAGTCTATAGGTTCTTTCTGGGTCTAAATTTCGTTTTTCAACCCGGTAGGGGCAGAAAGTAGGTCTTTGTGGAACTCTTGTTGGTTGGGACTTGGTTCTGACTCCACTGGGACCATTTGGAACTCAGTGGGACCGGGCCCAAACAAGAAGGGCCCCTCAGGCTCGAATCTGTTGTCGTCAGTTACCTCGCTCTATCTGATTGGGACTCGGAGTTCATGCTTTCGGACCAGGACACTCATTGCTGAGGGGATCTCAGATGAGACGTTTTATCAGACTTTACCACACAATCCGCCGCCTGACTCGCACATTGGACACCACTCAATTCTCTCTTGCATTTACGTAGTACACTTTGAATCTGATTTGTTGTGTCTCCACGGAGTTGAGTCCGGTTAGGCTTGAGAGGACCTCATACGTGGTCGGACCAGACTGTGTGGCAGAATCACATCTCTCTGATCTTTTATTTTTGTTTTGACTTCTCTCCAGTCCAAATGAATTGTCGCTCCGGCTAGGAGTTCTACCTTCTCTTCTGATTGCTTTCAAGTTGTTTCTTTTACTGGGTTCGTTAAATGTCTGCGTCTACATGATCGCAAACGAGAGAGAGAGAGAGAGAGAGAGAGAGAGAGAGAGAGAGAGAGAGAGAGAGAGAGAGAGAGAGAGAAGAGAGAAGCTTCTAAGTGTTGCTCTTGAGGGAGTGAGGAGAGGGAAGAGGAGTGTTCGTCCCAGAAGTGTGAGGAAGTACAGACCCCTCTTGAGAGACTTATTAACACCCTCATCCTCCATTATGGCATCTGCAACAGAATGGAAGCTGCAAATGGACGCTGCTCCTGAGGTAGAAAAAGCGCAGTACCTATTGTTCTATGAGAAAGCATTGAAGAGGGAAAAGGAAGAGAAGGAGAAGGAGAGGGAAGACTAAGTAAAGGCTCATGAAGTCGTCTTCAGTACCATGCCCGCCTTAACTGATGTGGAGGTAGAAGAGAAAATTGTCTCACTCCTCGGGGCCTTAGTAAAAGTCCGGGCTGTTGAAGACCATACTAGCCAACTCGCAAAGGTGTTTGACGAACTCAAGAAGTTGCGTGAGGATATGGCCCGGATGGCGCAGCAGCACCGTGACCAGCTGCAACAGTTTGCTAACTTGCAGTCGGCCCAAAGTGTCCTTCCGCCTGCTTACCCTGCTTCTAGTGCTGTGTGTCAGTCCGACCTTGCCCGTCTAACCGTGTCTTCTTCTTCTTCTTCTTCTTCTTCTTCTTCTTCTTCTTCTTCTTCTTCTTTGAGTGTGGCCAACAACCTATCCGGATCTGCAGCAGGTCCAGACCCCGTTGTTCCTGCTGCTGCTGCTGCAGCGGCAAGTGGCGGTGCAGGGCATTCTGGAACTGTTGCAGCCCCGAATTCGGACCCAACAATCGCTGGTCCTAGTTGCAGCTTTCCCTATGTGGACAGGAAGGCGGAATAGATTCCGTCTAAGAATGACGGAAAAGACGACATCGAATCTTGGATCAACTTCATGCGATCCTATTTTGATGTGTTGGGGACACCCCAATGACTCAGTCGTCGGCTCTAAGGACCAATGTGGAACCCGCCGTAACGGGCTTCTTAGAAGTCCAAGCTGTACAATCAAGCTATAAAAGAATAGACCTGAACAAATGGTTGAAGGCTACGCCTATAGCCGCACTCGAGGAACTCTGATTAAACAATATGCTGATCCACATGCTGCAGCCAAGGCTAGACTTAAGCTTGACAAGCTCAAGCACAACAAGTGGACCCGCACCATGCATAGTCTGCAGCAGTACGTTAGTAAACTTTTTGCTACTCCTGATTTGGAGATGACTGCACAGTCTTGCTTGGATGTGATTAAAGGTACAATCCCCTCTACTATAACACATCGCATGGGGCTCAGACTCATAACGTATACAAATTGGCTTACCCTCATGCGGGACTTAGTCCAGCTGGAAGCACAAGACCTCCCGGGTGGATCGGGTGGCAAAAAGGCCACCGGCCGCGAACGGTTCCCAGGCAACAACCGTTTTTTAGCACACGATCTACTTGAGGATGACAAGGAGACCTTCACAGAGGATCCTTCTCTTGATGACGATCAAGAGCAAGGCTGCGAGGCATCTTGCTCTTCGTCAACTCATGAGTCTGACTATGTAAATGGCGAAGAATCCATGAAGGCCTTCAAGAAGACTGCCTTTAAATGTAAGGGGCCGAGGACCACAGTGAAGAACAACACTAACACCATTCTCCTTCCCAAGGGAGCGAAAATTCCACCCAAACCGGAAGATCCTGCCGCAAAACCATGGGTAGATCTCCGGATAAGTGAAAGTGAGCGGAAACACAGGGTGAAAAAAGGGGTTTGCTTGCATTGCACCAAACCGGGACATTCAGTCCAACATGCTTCAGATTGCAGCAGGGAAACCAACAACGGGGGTAGAGACATTATCAACACACTCTACAGACGGAGAGGCTGAAAATGTAAGTGCAGATTCTTCATTGGATTTTGATCCCACTCAGCAAACCTCTCCTGAGACCCTCTCTGATGCTGATTCCAAGGCTGAGAAAGTACACATCCTATACAAGGAACCTTGGGTGGAGTCGGAAGAAATAAACTTTCATTCTCTCTTGTTGCGCTGGGCTCACATGAAGCAAGAACGCGCGCAAGGAAAAACGAAGTTGATCTTCTTCAAACTCCGCGTTAACGACCGTTACATCCGTGCGTTGGCTGATTATGGCGCAACCGCGAACTACTTCTCACCGCACGACATTCGTAAGGCACACTTGGGAATGAAGCAAGTGACTTTGCAGAATCCTTGTCGGACCCAAGTGGGCAACCAACAGGTTGTCACATCTACGCATGCAGTCACAAGTGTGCGCACTACCTTTGACGCAGACCGCACAATCACGCATGAGTTGAACTTCTATGTCCTTGATAAGTGCCCGTTCGACGCGGTTATTGGCTTGGGCTGGTTGCAGGCCCGATGTGAAAGAACCACGTGGAAGGATTCACAATTCATGGTCAAAGATGCCATGGGAATCGAGCGTCCAGTCCTCTTGGATGAGCCTCACGAGTCCCAAGTAACTTTTTTTAATGCAATGCAATTCTGCAAAAAGTGGCGCAGGTGCAAAGTTGATGAGCAAATGTATATAGCCTTTGTTAGGCCTGCTCATGTGCCTTCTGTTTTTGTTGTACATAATGATTCTACTTTGCATGCCGTTTCTACTTCTAATGCAACCACGTCTACCTCTACTGAATCTACTTCTAGTCCGAACGACTCTGCTTCCAATTCTGTTGTTTTGGCTGCACCTATGCAATCCGTTATGCTTGCACCTGAAAGTGATGATCCACCTCTGGAAGTCCCATCTGAAATCTGCAACCTTCTCAACCGATTTCCTGAAGTCTTGGCCGAACTGCATGTAGTTCCCGTGCGTCCGGTCCGACACAAGATCGAGTTGATAGAAGGTAGTACTCCTCCAAAAGGTTGTGTCTATCAAATGGGCTCATGCGAATTGGACGAGTTGCGAAGACAGATCAATGATATGATTGGGAAAGGATGGATCAAGCCAAGCGAATTTGAATTCGGTGCACCGGTTCTATTTGTCCCTAAGAAAGGAGGCAAACTACGGATGTGTATCGATTACCGCGGACTGAATAGGATAACAAGAAAGAATGCATATCCTTTGCCGCGTATTGATGATCTGCTTGATGCTGCAGGTTGGTGCAAGGTCTTCGTCAAGATCGATCTCAAGTCTGGCTACCACCAGATTGAAGTCGACCCTGCCGACCAGCGCAAAACTGCATTCAAAACTCGCGATGGGCTGTACGAGTTTACCGTCATGCCCTTCGGTCTCACAAATGCACCGACCACCTTTCGAAGTCTCATGGACAAGGGGTTCCGCAATCAAATCAACCGATTTGTTGTTGTGTATTTGGATGACATACTAATCTTCAGCAAGTCGATGGAGGAGCACATGAGACATCTTGAGGAAGTGTTGCAGATCCTCAAGGATGCGCAACTTCATCTCAATTGGAGAAATCTGAGTTTGGGAGGGATAGTGTCATCTACCTTGGACATCGGTTGTCTGCTGCAGGCCTAGAGCCCAAGGCAACCAAAGTTGAGGTCATCCGCAACTAGCCTCAACCGGCCAATGTCCGCGAGTTGCATTCTTTTCTTGGTCTTGCGTCATACTACCGTAAGTTTGTACCCAAATTCTCTATCATTGCATGTCCGCTATCCAAGTTGACAAGTAAGAATGTGTCTTACACATGGGATGGGGAATGCACAACAACCTTCCAAGCGTTGAAGGAGGCTTTGGTGAGTCATTCGGTACTCCGCATTGCAGATCCCAAACTTACATTCGTAGTAACTACGGATGCAAGCTTGTATGGGATTGGTGCAGTGCTGCAGCAAGATGACAGCGATGGCTTACGACCGCTGGAATAGTACAGCAAACGCATGCCCAGTCACAAGGTAGCTGCCTCCACTTACATGCGAGAACTCTACGCCTTCAGAGAGGCACTAGATCATGGAAACACTACCTCTTGGGTCGTCATTTCAAAGTGTTCTCAGATCACGAGACTTTGAAATGTATTCAGACACAGATTAATCCATCAACCACATTGACCCGCTGGCTGCATGAGATTGATGTGTATGATTTTGAACTTAAGTACAAGAAAGAGTGTTACAATCGCATTGCGGATGCTTTGTCTCGCCATCCTGAGTACATGACTTGCCTTGTGGGTTCCTATGATCTCTGTAAGAATTTGAAGGAGGAACTCATTGAGCATACTGCCAAGGACCCGGAACTCAGTCCCATCCTTAAGAAGCGGGCTGACCCCATCAGTCAACATCCATCAGTCAACCTGATTTCCATGAGTGTAATGGCTTACTTTTTCGACGTTACGAGAAGCACGACCGACTGTGTGTACCCAACCATGAGTCGATCCTTACTCACTTCTTGGACTTGGCTCATGGCCAGAGTGGACACTTTGGTTTTGAGAAAACATACGAAAGTCTGCTACAAAAGTTTGTATCCCTGGAATGAAAGGAATGGCACGAAAGTTTGTGGCTGAGTGTGAAGTTTGTCAACAAATCAAACCGCCTCGGCAGAAGCCCTATGGGTTGCTGCGTCCTCTTCCTATTCCTGATGGCCCTGGGGAGTCTCTTTCCATCGACTTCACGGACATGGGGAAGAAGAGTAGGAATGAATATTCGCAAGTAATGGTGATTGTTGACCGCTTTTCAAACTTTCTGAACTTGATCCCATTACCACCTCACGCCCCAACTGACCTGGTGATCAAAGAGTTTCACAAGAAGTACATTTTGTAGTGTGGACCCCTGAAAACTCTTGTCAGTGACCGGGACACTAGGTTCATAAGTGCAGATCCGAAGGACTTCACCTCCCAGATCTATGACATCAAACTTAAGATGACGCCTAATCGACATCCCGAAGCCAATGGCCGAGGAGTTCGACCAGACTGTGATCCAACTTCTCCGAGCTCTAATTGTGCCTGATCAGAATTCTTGGGATGAGGAATCGCCGATTGTGCAGGGGTTTTACAGCAACTCCATACACTCCTCCACGGGGATGACACCTAACCGACTGCACCTTGGGTGGAAAATTCACAATCCCCTATCTTATCTGTTTCCTGAACAGCCACCTGGCCTGACACCTGGCCAGGCAGGCTACAACGCTAAGTTTGATCGTTTGCTCAAAGTTGTTGTCGCAACTATGGAAAAGCGACGCAGTGCCATGATTAAGCATGCAAACAAAAAGCACCAGCCTGACCCTTTTACAGTGGGAAGTTATGTCTGGGTCAAGATGTATGAGTTTTCTGAAGAAGAAGGTGTATCACGGAAGCTTCTTCCTCAGTACTACGGTCCATGGAAGGTGCTGAACCGAGTAAGAGATGATTCCTTTGGTCCTTCTTACACGATCGACGTGCCTACTCGTCCGCGCACATACCCAGTCTTTCATGCGTCGAAGTTGTTTCCGTATGAACCACCTGAAACTTTTATGTATCGAGAATCAATGATTCCTCGCGCAATCAATGGTGGTCACGAGGTTGATAGAATTGTCAAGCACAGTGGAAAGGGGAGAAACAGACAGTACAAAGTCCATTTTCAGTACCACCCGTTGAATGACTTTTACTGGGTCACTGAGAAAGATTTGTTGTAGAGTGCCCCGCGAGTCGTCAAGGCATATGAACGACTGATTAGTTCCGAACAGCAGCCCAAATTCACTGCTACCCTCACTCCTACAGAACATGCCCGATCTCTCTTTGCTATTTACGCTTATGATGCATTATGCAAGGACTCTGATTGAGTTACTCGCTCGAAGGGACCTCGCTCTTGAGGTGGGGGTAGTGTAATGACTCGCCATAACACAGACTGAGAACACTGCTGATTTATGCCGATGGAATGGATGCCTTGCTGAGATTCCCGCATTCTTCTGTGTTTTCTAAGTCTGTATGTGTGCGTGCCTGTTGACTTGCGTGCCTGCATGAGTGCTTGTCGCCATGAGTGTGTGTGTCACCCGCAAGGGCACTTGCTTGTTTGGTAGGCCCGTAGGGCCGGTACTTGTCTGTAGCCATGGGATTGACGGTTGCAGCAGGGAAAACACTCAAGTAGAGGAGCCAGGCGCCCGCGGTGCTTAGAGCAGCGGAAAAACACTCAAGTAGCAGGTAGGCCGGTACCGCACCCAATAGCAATAAATGTGCAAGGTACTCGAGGCCAAGCAGAAGAAGACAAAGTTGGCATTTTTAGAGGCCCAGTAGCGATAGGCTAGGTCTAGGTGGGTACCAGTCCATCCAGTCCGAGTCTAGAGCCTGTACAGGCAATATCGGAGTCTGCAATGATGTTTCCCAACGAAAGGGAGGAGGTACCGGTTGCTTGGGAGGCCGAGCGGCTTGGAAGTCACCGCCCAGGAGGCAAGTAGGCCGCTATATCAAGAGGCCGAGGCAAGAGCTCGGCCTCATTCTTCATTGTGCGAGTTGGGCGTCACGCTGCTGGAGCGCTGGTTGGAAGAGTGCTGGCTGCTACAGCGCTGCTGGGAGGAAGAAGCCGGGAGCTTCCACCTCGGCTATGGTGGAGCTCGGCCCGTAGGAGGAGGAGGGAGAAGGGGACCAAGGGGGGAGAGTGGCGAGGTACCTACCTGGCTATGGTGGACACCATCCTCATCACCTTGTTAGGCGCTGCATCTGGAAGGCCCCCGTTTGGGTTGTGCCGCACGAAGGAAGCTCGGGGTAGAGTCAGGCATAGCGGTTCAGTGAGCAGCGGCATAGCTGCTTGAAGCGGCAGCAACATAGCTGCTTTGGGTTGTCCTTTGGACAAGAGGCTGAAGCCTCAGTAATCTGCCATAGCCTCAGCCTGCAATGACGAGGAAGGAGAAGGGTGGCCATGGTTATGGTGGACCTCATGTTGTGCCTGCAGTAGAAGTGGGATTTAGACATTGATTCTGGTTCAGCCATTCAACATTATTACTATTATTTCTTGTTTGAATAAGAGGGGAGGAGATAAGGAGGAGGAGATTGGTTGGCGAAGAAGAAGAGCCTTGTCATTGGTCTATGCTGGAGAACATCATCTCCTTCTTCTTTCTTACTTCTTCTTCTTCTTCTTTCCCTCTCTCTCCTCTCAAGTTCATTCATTTCTTTTTGCAATTGGACGGCATTGTACTTTCTGATGAATGCATACTTCGAAATTGGCCAGGATCGTAACAATTTCCAAAAATTTCGAAAAAGAAAATATTTTGGAAAAAGAAATGTAGATAATTAATTAAGTATTTCGAATTTACAAGAATTTCAAATGAATTCTAAAAATAATAAATCTAATAATAAATAAAGGAATAAATGAGTTTTGAAGTAAATCGAGGGCGGAGCGATCCTATCTACGATTGATTGGGTGGTAGCGTGGTAGGTAGGGTTAAAAAGGGGGTTGCACGGGTAGATTGACCATGATGATGATGATGATGGTGATGGTGATGGGGGGGAACGTGGG